AGCAGGTCAGTATCGTAACATTTTTTCCAGTAAGACTACAATTTTTTAATATACAAGTGGTAATTAACCAACTTGCAAAGTTACGATTGATCTAAGCTAGGCGCGAGCACCTAGTCGCGACGGTATGCTTAATGCCGTCAGTGTGCGCTTGCTTGTAGGGATGCTGAAAAATCCCTTGCCATGCCATACCGCCAATGGACGCCGTTCCTTAAGAACTCTTCAAATGTGCTCACTTGCCCTAAAAACAAAAAATAAAACTTTAACAGGCTGTAAATTTCAGCAAATGTAAATTAAGTCATTGTTTCACCGGAGGTGCGATTTACACTATTTATTTACGTATATGGTACTAAATGACGGGACGAACAAATTGAGCGCCTGATGGTAAGCGACACGCCTGTTCATTACACTTGCAGTGCCGCTCAGAGCTTTAAATCGCAAAGATCAGAGGGGAGTGTACGTGTAATTTCACCAGCACCCTTACCTTTCAAAACCGAAACACAGTAACGTGAGCATTACTGTTTAGCGGCAGAAATAGGTAACTTGGCAATACTGCCACGTACGTTGACAAAATAATTTTTGAGATATCATAAAAGAGCATAATCCGTTCTATAATATTGAAATTGTTTAATATTTTAGCTGTGTATATAATTAGGTTAAGTTCCGATATGTCCGACTCGTTAAATAACTTTAACAGTTTTTAAATAGACAATTTTGAGCTCTACCTTATGCTATTTAAAACGGATGTTTGAGCACTTGTCGCGTAGCCGCGTTTTAGTCAGTGGACGGCATAATACTTTCCTGGACGAACTCATTCACAAGGAGCTTTACTGCTAATAAAAACAAGGCAAGCAAATGATAGTAGTCGTAAATGGTAGGGCGTATATCAGATTGTTTTTTGCCATTATAATTTTTCTAACAGTTGTTTGTTAGCGCAAGTAATAAACGACCTACGCGTGACGACGTCTGATTTATCTCACGATAATGTAGAGTATAGATAATTATGTAGGAGTATTATTCATAATGTACAAGTATGACTAAACACTGCACGTATCCATATTAATTAATAGCATAAACGTGGATCTTAACATAACCAGGTAAATAAATATGTATAGATAAGATTTTTAGCGAGCTAGTGGGAAAACCTGTCCTATACATTATTGGTTTTATGATTGTTTTTTCCGTGAAACGTACTATTACGTTCGAATTATATAATAATGTATGAAGGATTACATATAAATGTGATCCTTGAAGTCCTGTTTTAGATTTAAAGTGATACTTAAGGGAGCTGAGGTTGCAACGCTTAATAAAAGCCAGTTTCGATCGTCATGTGACGCAGTTCGTTATAGGATACTATGGGTCGTATTCTAGAACTCTACTCAATGCTCAAGTCAGGATTGGAAACACAAGCACTGTTGACAAGACAAGTTGGAAATACGACCCTAATGGCAGGGACTTGAGTATGATTTCCATTTTTAAACCAATAATTTAAACCATACTCAAATTTTGACTTGAGCATTGAGTAGAGTTCTGGAATGCGGCCCTATAACCTGCATAAACTAATTTGACTCTTGTGCACGCTTAGGAAATTAATTGTATTCACATCAAATACTCTCGACTTAACTACAATCTACGACATAATTGACGAGTATAAAGGTCAAATGAGTTACAGATGAATACGGCACTCAAATATCCATGTCGCATGAAAACAGAGAACATCCCGCTTAGTTTTTGTACTATCTGACATTTTTAGGTCTGTATTTGGTAGTAAAATGGTAAATAATATTCAAACGTTTCAAAATAATATTCAAAACCCACCCCGCACAGAGTTATCACCGTTTAGAGAAATCTATTTAAATATTTTTATTTTTATTTTAAGTAAATTTGACGAATTATTAACAGTCATGGAACAAAAGGTTTTGTTTATGATGTTAGTAATATAGTCCTGCGAGGTTGTAATAAATAACCCTGTATAATATAATAACATAAAAGCTGTACACACCGAACGCGCATTACGTTTAATACATTAAACTGATCCGCAGTCCGCCCGCTTATGAAGAATAAATTTAACTCTACAAAAACGATTACATCCACACACAGTGATAGTGCTGACCGCACTTTTATCATCACCACACACAATTAGATAATTCAACATACGCGTTTGATTATAAGTATATTACATATACACATGTTATGTGTACTTCTTATCTTACTCGTGCGATAGTGACATTATGCACTGATTGACGATTTTTATGCTACGGGTCGTTGCGATAACTATGTAAACACGTTTTATGTAAAATCATAGACTGTGTATATGATTCTGCATTGAATGCGACTGTTTTGTCGCGGCATTAAGTCGAAAAGTTATGACTTGAAGCGAAAAAGTGTGTACTTGATACAAGTAACCACCTCTGAGGCCCAACGGTTTGCACCGGCAGAATCAACTTAGGCAAATAAACAGTAGTCCAGGGTAGTACTGCCACCTTATCTATTTCTGCCGCTAAGCAGTAATGTCAGCATTACTGTGTTCCGGTTGTGAAGCGTAAGGGTGCTGGTGAAATTACAAGCACATGGGACTTATCAACATATGTCTCAGGGTGACGGGCGCAGAAGTAGTGCGCCTCAGATCTTTGCGATTTAAAGAGCTGAGTGGCACTGCAACTGTTATGGACAGGCGTGTAGCTTGACCATCAGGCGCTCGACTTGTTCGACCTTGATATTATAAAAAAAAACTTTTCTAAATTGTTTCTTGTTCGGGTGTTCCGGGTGGAGCCCCGAAGTAAACTGCGTTACTCCGATACTCATAGTACAAATAATTCCCTAGTTTGAAACTAGGTAATTGGTGTAGTTGTTTGGCGTATTATTATTACCTACAAGCTCGATTATTGAATCAACTATGGACGTACTCGCGTCTTGTGCAACGTAAGAGCTATTATCGCTATATATGGTGGAAATTTGAGACGGGTTAGCAAGGGCAACTACCTTAACCATCATTGCTACAGAAAAATAGCCCTAGAACATCATGATGTTATACAACTATGATATTTATTTATTTTTTTGTGAAATCACTACCACTACTTTATAATTGAGGCTATCGGCGCAATTGTGATGTAACCCACATTTAATTTTTTTCTACAACATTACTGACTGTCAGACTGGAATAATGCTTGATTATTGTATGTTTGGATGCTATTTTCATATATAAAAAATATTTAATTATAAAATTTTCTTTGGGTTACACCATAGGTATAGAAAAAACGGGAGATGTGCCATGACGCTATGTAAGATCGCGTACCGATATTATCACTTTTTACGCTCTATTATCTACTACCATAAATTAACGGTTTTGATTGGTTGAGGCTTAAACATGAAAACGAAGTAATATAACTTACTATTTTAACAAGTTTAAACTTACAATCACTCGCGTAAGACTTATATTGCAATATTACAGTATTTTTTTCATTCTGGTTCAGCCATTCACCGTTAGTGGCGTTAGTAGAATTGCCAAAAAATGCTACTTGTGGTAGCTATTACACGTTAGATGATGGTGAAGCTCATTTTTCGTTAAGATCCTGTATAGTTATATAAGCGTTAGCTTATAATAGTTTGGCGCTACTCAACGAAAGATGTGACCTAACTAATCGATAATCAGAGACCATGTGGCTGTTTTTACTAATTAAAAAATATTCCGTTGTTCATTATTACCGGGTTCATACTACGACTATTTATGTTTTTAATTGTTACTTCGGGTTGATGAAGCTGTCACAGTCAAGAGTAACTTGAACCATCAACAATCAATGTATTTGCTATAGAAATTTAAACAAAGTCAGAAATTACAAAAGGAAACCAATATTTCGATGTTCCTGCAGCTTCAATCCAACCTTATTTTATTTTGGACTCATTGGGAAAATTAAAAAATTAAAAATGCTCTTCGTTTAATCTATGAATATAATGGACTTTCAATATCTAGATTACACAAATAATAATACGTACACATTTTTAAACGTGCAACATACAAATTGACATGAAAATGAAACTGCTATCCGAAATATGAGTTGTGTGAAAGTTAATGTTTTTCGCTTCGATTCATTAGGGACTTTAATTACAAAAATCGTAATAAGAAATTCAAATATTTCGGTAAAAATCAATATTCGATAAACATCAACTATCGTAAATGAACATCACTATGTTCGACTCTAGAAATTTCCATGGAAACAAAAAGAAAACATTGAATAATAATTGAAATAGTAATCGAAAATGCAAATAACCGGTGGTACATTATCCCATTAGTTTTTAAATTTTTGTTTTCACTCCAATTTTATCAAATTATAACGCTACAACTTGGATTTTCATGTTTTACAAGAGATCTTGTGTGTGTGATCGCCACGACACTGAAGATATTTAAAGGCGTGTCACCTCAATATGCGCATTTTGGGCTTATCGAGGCGACACGTTAGGGCGCGTTCCCATTATGTCGTGACGACAGATAGTGGTTCAGTTTAAAGTGTCGTCCCTTACATATTTAAATGAAGTTGTTCACAAATAGAATAACACGATTAACTGTCGTTCACGACTTTTTTGACGTTCGAACACTGACTGTCGTGACAATGGGAAGAGCTAGAACGACAATCGTCTGACGATAAATTAAACGTTACGATAAAAAAAACATCTGGTGGGAACAGCTAAACACGACAGTCGTTCAACGATAAAATAAACGTCCACGACACAGTCACGACACCCGTGATACGGGAATATGCTAGACGCGACAATCGTCCAACGATAAATAAAACGTTACGACATAATGGGAACACGCCCTTACACCACTATTGCGCCCATAGCCTCAATTATTAACACAAAGATTGAAGTCGAGTCCTGTCAGATCGAAGTAAATTTTCTTGGTGTGTAATCTTTATATTAATAATTATAATATAAAGATTATGAGATTTTTTGTTTCTTTTTATTCTGTTATATATCCTGTTTCAATGCTTTTATTTCTTCTACAGATATTGCTATGCTGGTCTGCGTAAGAAAGTCAAACTGGAAGTACCACAGCTTCCTGATTTAGGTGTCGAATCTTCCAAGGTACATAGCAATCCTGAGTAAATTTTATTATTTATTTTCCTCGAAGTATGAACAGCTCAGTAGAATTTTACTGGTGGTAGCATTGACTTACAAATAAATGGACGGCGGGTCTAATACAAAAACCACGAAAAAAATGTCCCAAGTCAACCTATTTAAACATAGTGACATGTAAAGGAATATGAAAAAGCTAAAACGTTGAATTTAAATTGTAATGTCATCGCAGTACTGTCTAATTCTGCTTGCTTCGCTGTCAGCAGAACAAACGAAGACTAAAGCGTGAATGACGCTCTGTATACGATTTTAACACCCTATAAGTTCGGACACTTTTTAGCGCGGACCCGACATCCATATAATTGTAACTCAATGGGTGGTAGGGGTTTCGTCTGTGCAGAACCCGCCTCGGTAGATACCGTGATCCTATTTCTGCTGCAAATAAGCTAAATGTTCCAGATTTATAGAGATGCCCAGCGCAATCATAGATACAGGAGGCATAAGGCGATGATTACTATTTTTCATCAGGTGGCCAGTATCACTGTTTGCCGATTTTAATAACATTAAGTAAACTAATACGATAAATTATATATGCCGAATTAATTTTGATAAGACTCACATTATTGAAAAGAATTTTTTATTGTTTTATATTTGGTTATATTTTTCTTGAAACTATATTCGTAAAGCTCATCGTTGTTGTTTTTTATTTTACAGGATGTCTGCTCTCCACCGAGGGAATCTGAAAGGGTGGTGTGTGAATGGGCTGAATCTAAGCTGGGTAAGAGAATATTAAATAAAAATTGTATTGCCGTTTGTATTGTTTTGGTAGCATCGTTCATTGCATTATTCCTTTGTCATATTATGTATTATATACTTAATTTTTCTTATTTTAGATTGTAGATTGTAAATTTTATAAATATGTTACAATAATATGTACCACAGATCATATATCTAAATAGACGCCTCACGTAACACGATCTGCATAAAAATTTTTTGTACCTCCAATGACGTCACAAGTATTTAGTGATGGCGATTGATTAAATCAAAGACGCAGACGATGCACGTGTTTAGAATAATGATTTTTCAAATATTTGTTGGTTATAAGGAGCCGTGAAATATTAATATAGTACAATAATACCAGAATTTACTACCAAAATTTAGTAGCAGTAGAGCTCCTTGTGAAAGAGTTTGTCCAGGGAAGTACTGCTACCTTACCTATTTCTGCCGCCAAGCAGTAATGTCAGCATTACTGTTATCGGTTTTAAGGGTAAGGTGCTGGCGAAATTACAGGCACATGGGACTTATCTGTCAACTTATGTCTCAGTGTGACGAACGGTAATATATATTAATTTCACTAAATTTAATCAAATTTAAATTTAATTAAATATCAGGATGTTTTACTACCATGATATTCAGTTATTTTTTTGTGAAATTATTCCTAGTTCTTTTCGTAACTCAGTTGGGAAAGCGTCAGACACGGTATGCTGAAGGCGCTGGTTCGAATCCAGCCGGATCGAAGGAATTTTTCTTAGTGTTCGATCTTTGTATTAACAATATAGTGGTTAAATTTAAGTTATAATTTGTTGTTGGTTGTCGGTGGTGTCCGCTCCGTTCCTCAGTCCCACAGAATACCAACGTCGGGTTGGTTTGCATGCACAACTTGGTTAACCCATTTTGGATCTCAACTAGTTAGACCAACTAAATATTATTTACTTTTTTTTCTTTTATCAGGTTTGAAGTTCGCAAGTGTGGCGGAGCTGTCGCGGCACCTAATTTCCTTAAGCGTGACACGAGCACCACCTGGTCCGGCTAGCGCTTCGCCGCCGCCGCTGCCGCAGCCACACGGTGAGTGTTATAACGGTCTGTGATACATTCATCAGTTATACTATATCATAAATTAATAATGTAATGTTATTAAGAAAAGTTGTAATGTTGAAAAGCTTCAGATTATTCATTTTCTCACAGGAGACGATGCAACCGGTCGGCAGTTGATGAAGCAACTTAAGCGAAAGATCACCCAACAGGTCAGTATAGCAAAATGTACGCAACAAATAAAAGAGAAAAATAAATTGTTTAGAAATAATTGGACATAGTTAAACAAAAAGGATCCAATGCACATCTAGTCACAGATGTGGCAGTTTAAAAGTGTTTCTCACTCTTGTTTTATTTTCAAAATGCCATGTAACTCCAGAGGTATTTATTTATGTTTATTATGTTGGATTTTTTTGTTGATCTAAGAGATTAGACTTTAGGAACTGTTTGATACATATAACTAATTTTTTGATAATTTTGTGGATTTTTGCTTAACCACGTCCAATTTATTCTAAAAAGAAACAGCACAGCACACAATATACACAAAGAAAAAAGAAGAAAATCATCATAACAATTAAATGATACACACGCAAACAACACACAAATAAGAAGCAAATAACTATAACAATAAGTAATCCAGTGGTAAACCATAAAGTGTGTATGCTGTGCTGTTGTCCAATCCGTCATCCAATCACAGACCTCAATATAAAAAGCGGGTGCTTTTTACAAACCGTTCGAATTACAGACGCACGGCACAGCCGGCCGACCTAAAAAGAACAAGAGTCAGGACGTTCCCGGGATGGCGGGCGAGTCGCCGCCGTCGACGTCCTACGTGAGCCACCACACGCCCGTGAAGCACGAGAGCGAGCAGGGCGGCGAGGGCTACTATCAGCCGTCGTACGTGCCGTACGACGTGCGTCCGTCGTTCTTCGTGGCGCCGCCCCGCGCGCACCCTCCGCTCGCGCCGCACCCCCCGCACCCGCCGCACTCGCTGCCTCCCGAGTACCGCCCCGAGCCGTATTCCTTCGAGCCGGCGTACGCGCCGCGCGATCTCACCCTGCCCGCAGCGGACGCGCACCACAACCTCCCCATCAACCTAAGCTCCGACTCGTCGCTAGACCTGTCCACGGAGCGCGCCGATTGGCAGCGACGCCGCCCACCCGAGCCGCCGCCGCACGTACAGCCTCACCCGCCGCAGTCGCTCCACCAGCAGCACCCTCAATCGCATCCCCACCCCCACCAACAGCCGCATCCACCGCCGCTACACCAGCAGCCTCACCCGCATCAACAGCAGCAGCACCCGCAGCAGCAGCAGCACCCGCACCAGCAGCAGCACCCGCACCAGCAGCAGCACCCGCACCAGCAGCAGCACCCGCAACAGACGCCGCCGCATTCGCTGCATCACCCGCGCCAGCCCCTCCCCGGCAAAAAGTTGATCCTGGAGACGTACCAAAGCGAGACGCAAGGCGGCTCCCCGCGCGCGGCGCAGACGCAGCCGGAGCCCCGCGGCGGGCCGCACGTAACCGAGGACTTCCCGCGTACCGAGTACCTGCCGAAGAAAATGCGAGCCGCAGAGATCCTAGGTGGCAAACATGCGGCGACGCGACACACCCTGGCCGCCGCCGCCGCCGAACCCTCCGGCTCCAGTGGTTCTACCATCGCATCCGCCTCGGCCTCCGGCGCCGCGAAACCACCTGTTCGTTCCGAGGTTGCTTTTTTAGAGGATCCAAAAAACTTACCGAACCGGTCCAAAAGCACCGCCGCGGCGCTGGCCCGGGAGGAACAGGAGGCGGCGAGTCCGACACAATCGGTGAAGGCTCCGACGCCTAAGTCCGATCGCACCAAACTACGGAAAATTTGCGGCCGAGTGAGGGGGCCGTCGCCGGACCGCGTGGAGTCCCCCGACCGGCCCGACTCCCCGGGGTCGTGTTGCGGCATCGACGGGATCAATATTAAGACGGGGATGATCTGCGAGGAGAAGCACTCGGAGATACTCAACAGAGAGCGGGTCATTAGTATCTGCAACATCGACAAGCACGACTTGGACGATTACCTCAACGAGGGGAACAGCCAGGAACACGAGGAGGAGCTCTTGAGATACTTCCATCAGCGAGAGGCGGAAAACGAAGGGAACGCAACTGTCAACCCTTCCGATGCTGCTACTTTTTTAGAAAGAGGCCAGGACCCACAAGATGAACATAGTCAGGGTAAAAATGAAAAAATATCTCAGTTACGGGAATTACTAGCAAAGAATTTGAAAAACCAGAGTGGGTCTAGTACGCAAAATTTGCCGCTAACTCAAGATGTACCTTTGGACAATTTTCATGAACAACAGATTCCCAAGGCTAGTGAAGGTGCTTTTAAGCCGGTCGTAGCTCCAAACGTGGCTGAAGTAATGAACGGACAAAGTCTTTCTAATCAAATTGAAATTAATAGCAGTAAGCACAGTGCATCGACGACCGATGAGAATGGTCCAACTTTGCCATACGTAAATCCTAGCGCGTCCACCATAATTGCGACTAGTATTGCCGAGACTCACGTTTACAACGGGAATTGTCACACCGAACCGCAGAGTCCGACGACCAGAACTCAGCAATATGACTTTGTGCCCATTTCCGACGGATGCCACTCGCCTGCGAATTTCAACTCTAAATCGCCTTTAGGGTTCGGACAAAGAGGACTTAGTCCGACAAAAATTAATAAACCAGTTATAATGGGTGGCTCGTTGCAGACTTCGCCAATCTCACACAGCACTGCAGCGAGTCCGTTCGTGAGTCCTAGAAACACGCCATTCCCACGATCACGCTTGTGCCCTCGTCCTATACCCAAGCACAATAACCGGAAAAGACGTAACCCTCTCTCACTGGGCGTCGCCGATCCGAACACGAAGCAATTCGTGATGCCAAATGACCAAAAATGTATGCCCAAATCTTCTATATGTGGAACAACGCTGAAATATTGTCAACCGATGTCCGCACCGCCATCGCCCAATATAATATCATCACAGTATAAAAGCCAAATGTTTCAATGCACTGTTGCTGGAATTCCAAATGGATCTAACAATATGTGCTTGAACTTCTTGCCCAATGTACCATTCCAGGATAATGGCAACGGGGAGCTCGCACAACCATTGTCGGCTGATCCGCTGTCGAGCGAGGTGAGCCAGTTTTTCCAAGAGTCGATGGTCGTATACAGGCCTGGTCACGACACCTCGTTTAGGTCTCAATCTGTGCCACTGAAACAAGCCATGAACAACATGGGAATGTTAAGTTATGCTAACACTCCGGTAGGATCGGTGCCACCGACACCGGTGCCTAACGAATTTTGCGACTTCGGTTCCCTCGCCGACACCTGCGACATATCCAAAGCCGGGTTAAACCCCGAAACACTCGATAAAATTTATGATGCCATAGACAGCAGCACTGACGTACTTAATTCTAGTGAAGCGCAAAATCTTTTAAACTCGAACGACACTTTAAGTAACGGATGTGACCAGCAACCCATTCTTACTGACGAACAATTTAATTCCCTAATACCGACCGACGCTGGTGAGCTACTGGACAGAAGCAATCAGTTCAATCAGCCTTTTGTCAATGACAGCGCTACCACTGACAATGTCGACGATTTTCTGAAGCGTACCAATAGTATCGAGTTTGACCTGTCCGAATTAGTTACTGAGAAAAATAAGTACTACATGTCACGCTCTGTGCCCAGCACGCCGTTGCCGTACAAACGCACCGCGCCCAATTTGCAAATAGACTCTCGACGCTCGCGGGAACTGTTTACTGCGGAAAGTTACTCGAACGTATCGAATGGAATTTCTTCGAAATCTGTGCCATCTACACCTCAACTGGCTGAGGAGCGTAGCGTGTTTAGTTATAGCAATAGAGATTTCCTTATCAATGGTAACTCAGTGGAAGTTTGCAACTCTGCACAGCTGCAGGGGGCGGGGGTTGTCGACAGCGACCAAGGATTGACCTCTCCTCTTCACGACATGTTGCGCGATGGCATGTTGGACCCTCTGACGCCCGCGGCCGACTTGCTAGCCGATCTCGACAAAATGGATGGAACTCCTTATGTTGACCTCTAGTCAGCTATTCTATTGAAATCACCCCTGTAAATAGTTGTAATGTTAGTTTTGTTTCATTATGTTTGTACAGATGCCGAAGTATTGGATATCTTGCTGAGTACAATATTATACGTATACCTTCAATGAAGGTGAAAGTAAGTACTTCACGCCTACCTGGATATTGACGTACGGGTCGCGCTCTCCCAAAAATTGAGTCAATACAATGCACCACAATATTGTGATAAGCATATTTTTAATCAATTACTAGAAAATAAGCAAGCTAAAACTCGTAAGTACTCCTACTTCACATTATATTGCATATTCAAGGAACCGTTTGCCACAGATGCAATGTCACCACAACGCCTTATGAAATAAAAAATCTTTTTTTTTACAGAAAAGAAATCAATATTTCCATGAACAGTTATGAATCACCTCCGCCTCGAAAATATAGCGGATTACTCATTAATCTACCTAATTACGGTTTTTACCAAATCGAATATATTACTACATATTTTCCAAAGTCATAGTCCTTTACTGTTCGCTCAATAACTGCCGCTCAACTTGATCGGTAAACATCGTGAGTAAACGTATAGTTTGAAATCATAGTACATAGTGTGAGCTTCATGACAATATCTGCGTAATACACAGGCGTCTCTTAATCTAAATAGACATCTAAGACTTGATATTCATTTTGTACGACGACTAAAGTTGTGTAAGTGTGACTCGCATCATTTGCATCTGAACACCCCTGCACCGACAAGTTAGTACTGACTGTAGCTATCATGGTATTTGACCAGACCAATACCTCGTGCCAAGCACGATTAGTTAAATTAGATTGGTTTACTTGAGAAACTGATACATTGAGTAGTTTATAGTTTATGAAAATGAATTTATTGTAAGTTAGCACAAAGATTTAATATATTTTATTATCAAATAGGAATTTTAATGATATACTAAATTTACAAATTTTACCGCATCAAATGCGGAAACGGGAAATTTTAAATCTGCCAATGTGGCTGCAGTGAGCTTAAAAGTAACAAAAAGATTAGATTCATTGGATAAATGAATTTCAGAAGAGGTCGGCCTTAGTATCCACAGGCACTTGTATTTTCACTGTTTGCAACACGCTCATAATGAGTTTAAACAGTCTTAATTATGATTAGTAATCATTGACACATTAATTCGCACTTTCAAACTCAGGCCGACCTCTGGCGTAAGTGGTCCAAAGGACTAACCAGTATGTGACTGTTGGTACGGCCTAAACAAATTATTATGTGTTTTTGGTTAGTGCTTTTAGTATTATTGTTTTAAAACTCTCAAAATTCTTCATTTATCTTCAAACTGTGCCTGAATGACAATCTATACTTAACGTCTTTTGAAGAAAGCTTAAAGAGGTTGGTTTGTTATTGCGCTAGTACAAATAACACACTGGTTCGACAGGGATATACCTATTTGTAAGTGAAACCGAAGACTGTTATAAACTTTGTAGATATTTTGAACACGAAGTCATTGATCACTTTGTCTCGATGAATAGGTATACAATGGGTACACAACGAAGAACCTCAGTGATCGACAGTTTTTATTCCAATTTGGTACAACTTACCAAAATCGTCTAGTACCTAATTACTTTTAAGTTGTAAATGTTATGTTAAGTTCACAGTTTTAATATTAAGACGCAAATGATGACTTGTACATATTTTTGTTCCATTATCGTCGTTATAATCATTTCATCATGTATGTAGTTCACATAGAGTGACATCCATCATAGGTCTAACTTTGTCTCCGAAACAGAAATGTATGTCTCTGGTATATAAACATTTTATAAATATTACGGATGATTTATGCAATGCCTATAGTCTATGCTTTTCAACGTTTGTATGTCAGATATTTTTGGGTTACACAGCTCATGTAGGGTGTTGTGATCGATGTATATGTTTAGATATAATTGTTGTTGTTAATTCGTAATCATGTTCCATTTACTATACATGCCGTCCCATAATACGCAGTTTTTAGTGTTTTTGTTTCATATCTCGTGGGCTGACAGGTCCGATTGGTCCTGTCGCTGTATTGCGAAAATTTAAAAATAATTAACTTCTCGTCAAAGTATCAAATAATTGTAGCACCGCCTGTTACAGGTCGTAAGCTACTTGTCAGTGTTTAAAGCAAAGCCTTGTGAGTAAGCAAAATGCAAATTTTAAAACCTTTTTTTTACTTTGGGAGATTGAAATCTTGTATATCATTTTATTCCTTATCATAAGGCATACCAGTTGTTTCGAAATTTGCACTTTACTTACAAAGGTAGTTTAATTTTACATGTCTGATAAAGTCGCCCTCATGTAGTAATGGCATAGGTGGAGTTACGTCAAAAACGTTTATTGCTCCATTAGATACAGAAAAACATAACCCACATCCTCTCCAATTCTTATAACTCTATGTACAATATTAGTCGATAGAGTTACAAGAATTGGAGAGGATGTGGGTTATATTTTTCTACATCTAAATGGAGCAATAAACGTTTTTGACGTTACTCCACTACTTGTGCCATTCTTCCATGAGGGGTGCGATTTATAAGGTACGAATTATAAATGGATGTAATAAATTGCATTCATTTAATGAATAACTTGGTGCTTGTTCTCCAGTCAGCGACAATATTGAGTTCAAACCTTACTTCACATAAGTATGTTGCTCAGTTATTTAGAAAAGAATAAGGAATGAAGAATAATAATAAATAATCATTCTACGCTGCCCTCCTAGTCGTAACTAACGCATTTTAATTTCGGTAACTTTGGCACCTACATTTTTATTGTTACCAAGAAAATGTCAATTACGCGATTTTGCTTAACAATAAAACAGAAAGTAAATAAGATATTTAAAAACCGGTTATAGAGGGTTAATAACTCAAGTGAGTTTATGTTAATAGCCCAATTTCGCTAGAAATGTCGGATACGTTAGTTATGACAAGGACGACTGCCCGTACGTTGGAACATCTATTAGTAATTTTATGTCTTTGTTATTTTTAATGACATCCGTAAAAGGATATTTTACAGTTTGAGATAATCTAGCACCACAACACGTTTATAGTGTGAATAATATCAATAATTTTAATAACAAATATTCATTGTTCATCATGTTTCAATTTGATGTTTAGGTAACTTATGTGTGACACGTTATACATAAGTGTAAGTTAATTAATGCTTTCAGAATTTGTTTGTTATAATAAAATAAGTGAGACTACAATTGACAAGTTTAAACAGAATGTTGCCAGTCATTCGCCTTGATGTCACACAAAACACAGTAAGTATTCACATAAACTTTGTCAACGTTATGTAAACTCGGAAGTTTAGGCCCGGCGCCCACTACTACCTCAATATTATGACATAGTACGAAGTAAAACGTTATGACTGAATGAATAGAGGCTAGGCGCGAGCCCGATGTCCCAACGGTACATTTCGCAATGCCTGAGCATAGCTGCATTATTTGCCGTCAATTTGCACTTGCATAGGGATGCCGAAAGACCCCGCTTGCTATTTGGTGGGTACCGGGCCTTAAACAGTTATTTAAAACATTTGGTATAATTATCTATACCCTTAGGCTGAAATTAATAAAACGACATAATTTTGACATCTAGGTGGCGAGTATAGCAAGTTTTTAATATTTACAAAAACAAACGTTGCCTAAGTTTAAGCAAGAAATTACAAAGTAAACTCAAAGTTTAATTTAATTTCTTGCTTTTGCTTAAGCAAAATTCGTTTGTAAATATAAAACTTGCTTAGCCTGCCTCTTTGCTTAGTCGATCTTAAAGTTCCTTTTATAAAATAATATCAGCATTAGTGTGATTGATCGGCTGTTTATTTTAATGGCATCACCTAAAAAGGTCATCAAAATAAGGGTGTTACCACACTTACCGCCACGGAATCGCATTAAGCCGGTCAGAAAAATCTTTATATCCATGTAATAAGAGCGAAAATGACGTACGTTTTGCGTGGTACATGCGAGCGGAAGCGAAACACGCAACGTCTCTTTCGCTCTTATTGCATCCACCGGCTCAAGGCGATTCCGTGTGAATGAATGTGGCGAGTCCCTAATTCGATGGCATGCGGTTGGCGTTTGTCAATATTATTTTATCACTCCGCTTATTACGCCAGTAAATTACATTTGGAAGGACGTGTGTTAGCCTCACCGGTGACTATATAATTGTTATGTATAATTTTATACAATATTTTGAATTTGAAGTTTATTCGGTGTGAATGCTTACTGAAGCGTGTTGACAAATTGGCGTTACTTATTTCTTAACACTGTTGTTGCATCACATTAAATTATGAATAACCACAGTAACGCATCTAGTTTTAGTTTTTAAGATACATATTAATTTATGCGAATAATTGATGTTGAATTAAATTTATTAAAAGAAAAAAAAACGAAATGAATGTGAGTTGTTAGAATTGTTGATAATTGTAAGGATACAAGTATCAGTCATATGATGGAGATTCTGTTACTACTATAATTCATTGGCGTAAAAAAGTGCTGTAGGAAATACGAACTGACCAGACGTATACTTTGATTAAGAATTGGTTAACATCATTCGGCCATGTGATTGGTCAGCATTGAATTTCCTTCAACATTCAATGGCGTCTGAATTATACAATAAATTGTTATGTAAATATACAACATTAACATTGGCTAGACGTATTAAATAAACATGACCAGTTTATTTTTATTACTATTACTTTGTTCTGTTAATTATTGTTTTATTTCTAAATATTTTTATGAAATGTATGATATAATAATTTAGTTTTAATTATATATTTTAAGCAAAAAATATCCATGTTGTTGATTAGTCTTTTATGGATGTTGATTTACACCATTTGCTATGCAGTGATAATAAATGGTACGATAAAACATACTTTCCTTTTTGTCTTTCCCAATGCAAAGTCTTCCATTATAATTATTAATACAAAGATCGAACACTCAGAAAAAACACTCAGA